CATAGCAAAAAAGCTTTCTGACAGTGGTCTGGGCAATGAAATTTTTGGACATAGCACCAAAATCACAGGCAACAAAAGCAAAAATGAAAAAATGGGTTTCTAACAAAGGCAGCCTAGTTAACAGTCTATGCTCTTAACTACTGTGACACATTTGGCCTCACTCCCAAGAGGCCAGACCTCCTTAGTCCTTCACACTATGTCCACATGCATCTGAAACTGACTGTACAGACAAGTCACGGTGTTGCAGAGCTGTCCCCTCTCCTTACATCTTCACACAGACCCAGCAAGAAGGGACGTAGGGTGCCGGTCAGGTTAAATGCTACCTTACTGTCTGCCTGGTTTTCCAGCAAGTCATGGAAAAACCATGGGATGCAGTTAGGAAGTAGGCTTCTTTTTTAATCAAATATTTATTGAATTCAGGAAGATAACGTCACATAGGAATGAAGAAAGTGAAAGTGAAAATAAGAACATTGTTATACATTTCTCACCTTGTGTTTTATTGTGTTTAAATAGAAGGTGAATCATGGAATGGTTTACCTAGAACATTACAAAAGTAACAGCTTAATTACTTTTCCAAAATCTGAATATTTATTTCTTGACTACTAAGTAAAGCCTTCTAATATCAAAAAATAGATAATGCTAACATGGTTAATAACAGGGTAAATGTAACCTCTAATCCTAACAAGATTATACCATTTTTGGTAGACACATTTATAGCCTATTTATAAACAGCCAAGAATGGCACCCTAGGCTTCATGGATACAGATAGAAAGGACATCCTGCTGTCACCTGAGGAGCCCTCATGGTGTCAGCCTGAGGGACCGTGAAATCTGGGAAGCCAGATCGTCCCTAAGAAGCCTCTCAGGTCTGAGTGGCCACTTAGAGATACACAAGGCATAGGTGTTAGCATTACTGCTGTCCAGAAACTGACATTATTTTTATTGCTTTATGGGAACATTTTTTTAAGATAGTGTATTGGATGGGGAGAGGTTGCCTGATTTGTGAGCACGTCACTAACACATAAAATAAAAAC